TGCACGACACAATCGATTCAGGACCGAAATCTAGATCAACAACTTAAACTGAACTTCAACTTTTTTCCATTAAAAAAAATAAAATAAAAAAATCCCTTTGACATGCTGAAATGAGATTTGTCTCATTTTCATACACTTTCTGGTTCTCAGGGAGGTTATGAAATAAGCAGTCGAAGCACTTGTGGAGGGCGGGTACATTAAACGCACACACACAGACTCGGAGACAGAATAACACAAGGACAAGATGCGCACTCACATCGAAGCAAAAAAGAAAACTGAAGAAAAAAAAAAAAAAACAGTGGAGCACAGCAATGATTATGCACCAGATCTGCTTACACCATATTTCATCATTACTGTGGAGAAAAAACACTCAACTATTGATCTGCCCCACTGCTTCCTTTTCTCTCTTCCTCTCTCTCACTGCAATTCAATCTTTTATTCCCGTGTTTACTTATCGCATTTTACTTCCCTCTCACTCTTTTAGAAATCTGCAAGCAAAACAAGACTTCTGAAATGGTTCCCAGTAGTAAACAAGACCATAAACATGCAAACACTACTTAGAAATTATGTTCACAAACACCGCGTTCTTCCTCGCAGACACACATACACACACATACAGAGGAGGTGGACACAATATCAGAAACACCTGTGCAATCTAATGCAATCCAGAGCTGTAGCCCTGCAATAAACGCTGCCTTTGTGCAGTCTCTTTTTTCAATGCAATCTCAGAGCAAGAATGGATACAAAAATCATGAAAAAAAACCTTAAGATAAAATTCTTTACTTTAGAACAAAAACATCATTAAACATCATGTCCTCAGACTTTGTTCACAGTTACTGGGTATGGATCTAAAATAACCTTTTGGTACTGACATCAATGTGTCCACATTCAGTTTAAGACCAAATTAATAGGTGCTGATGTATTTTAGAGGGAAAAACTAGATTTACAGTTCTAAGCCAATAAATAAAATATGTGTTCTAAGCATTAGTAACAAAACCGAGGCATGCTGTTGGCAACAGCCTCAGAACATTTGATCAGTTAGGAAAAAATATCAGTTCCACAAAAGTTTGATAACATCACTCTCACAGATGGAAAAAAAAAAAAAAAAAAAAGGACAGGCAGTGAAGATGAGGGATTATTTTTCGAAGCTAAGAAATGCTCAGAAAGGAAATTTAAAGGACATATATAAATATATATATGAAAATACACAGAGTCTCTCTAGAATTTTTTTCACTGGATCCACATACGATGTGTTGCTGATAGTGCTGGGCAATTCAAGCAGTCTTTTTCATCTGCCAAATTCCACTTTAACCTCTGTCTATAGATTGTGCTGACCATCTTGAATATACCCAACTCCTGTTGTAGCTCAGTAAATCATCCTTCCTTATAAACACAGCCAAAGGAGGCTCTACATCACACATGAGCAGAGCCTAACGGCCACCTCAATTCGATTCCCTACAACCTTAAAAGAAAACTAAACAACCACCCAAAAATCAATAAACACTGCGTGAAAGGAGGCACACGGGAACCCTGACTTCAACTGCTGCTGGTGCTCCTCGTTCTGCTCTGCAGCCTCTGTGAGTTAGAGCACAGCAGCACCCGTTCTCCACCTGCTGCAGGTTCAGTATGAGTGACCCTCAAGCTAACAGCGGATCTCCAGAGTAGAACAAGAGCTACTGTCCCCAGCTGCATTAGATCTTGTTCTGAACTGGACTGCAGAATGACCTTAGTAGTGACTGGGCTTTCAAAATAAAAGCATGGGGGTTGTGAACTAGTTGTCTCAGGCTTGTTTTGGGATTATTTAAAACATTCAGGCAATCTGTTATATCTACCCAAATTAATGGATTTTAACATTCATCAGCAATATGTGTGTGTGATATTTTCATTCAGATGTTCCATGTGAGGCCCTTTGTTTACTATGACTATCACTGCTCTGCATGATGCTTCAACACCTTGACCACCGTACACGTAGGGCATCAAACAGTGTATATGAACACACATATACTTCCTTCCTCGTCGAGGCTTCAAGACAGACAAGAAGAGATAGAACGCAATCAACCACCATGCACCAAATGTTGTAATGGCCAACTGATAGTAAAATCACTTCCCTTTGTTACATCTCCTTTCTACGCCTCAACAGTGCAGGCAGGAACTCACACACAGCTTTTAACCTTGGTGCTTGGCATACGCACAGACACACACACAGCCCTACAGCAGGAAGATCTTAGCTTCTTGTAGGTGTTTTATATCTCCTGCTTTCTTTGCAACCTCTCACATGTATATACACACACTCACACACACGCACGACAAGGCAAAGAAACTAGCTGTGGTAAGTAACAAGTGAAAACGCCATCTGTCAAGCGAGAGCGCATTTGCTTCGCCTCAGCATTTTCAGGGGAATGCCTTGAAGACAAAAAGGTCCTTGTTCTCAATCTCTCCACAAATCCCATCTCTCATTCTTCCTCCCTCTTCCTTCATCCCCCCCTTTTGCTCTGCGCGCCTCGCCGCTCTGCCACCATCAGCAAAGTTGCACACATAAGCATTGGTCAGCGTTCAATTACCGCGAACACCAGGGAAGGATGGGAAAGTACTTGACAGAGAAATGCACTTCAAGCACTGATTAAATACCGATACCAAGTATAAAAAGCTTAGCCCCTAGGTTGTGTGTGTGCGTGCGTACATGCAATGAGAAAAGGAAATGGGAAAAATCTGTGTGTGTGTGTGTGTGTGTGTGTGTGTGTGTGTGTGTGTGTGTGTGTGTGTGTGTGTGTGTGTGTGTGTGAGAAAGAAAGACAGTGAAGAGGGAGGGTTGGTGGTGGTGCTCTTCTCTCCAATACTGATACAACTGTTTCATCATTATGACCCTCTATTACAGTACTTGCCAACTTGCTTACTACATACTTTTGATACACTCTGCAGAGTGCTGACTCCAACTAAAGCTGCTGATATGGAGTCATTAGGGGGGTGAAGTTTCTGTTTTTCTTGTGCCCACAGAGCTTCCCTATTACTCTTCAGTGTTTAAGAGTTGCAGCGCTCATAGGCAGAAGATAATGGCCCATCCGCAAGAGATCAATCAGAGGAAATTCTGTTGCACAGCATTATAGCTTCCTTTTTTAGCACACGTCTCAGTGTGGGTTCATTAACCGCCATGGGAATCAGTCCTTCCCCTCAGCCTTCATTTGTGTCTGTATTTTTAATGATATTTACACAGGAGGTTCTTGTTTTTAATCTGGCAAAATCAGACTGTATTTATTTATTTTATTAAAAAGTGAACTAAAGGTTGAGGGGTTAACTCTATAAGGTCTGAAGCCGCCTCCATTCGCTCGTTTTGTATCTGACCCTGGTATGCAGTGGACCCAAGCTCCGGTTACCTAGGTAACTCTCTAATGTCAATCAGCCGCATGTTCCGCTCTCATTGGTGGCTTCTTCGTTAAATACCGTTGAAGTTGAGAAAAGTTCGACGGTAGACCCGCCCATTTCACGTCGCTAACCGTTATTTCGCCCCTCTTCGCTCGTAAACGGTGAATGTCACTGACTTCACATGGCTTCTGGCCGTCAGTATCGTGGCCTAATTTATCAGAATGTGATTTTAATTAAAATTACTTTGGCTTTAAAACATCCGAAGTCTAGGCAATCAGAAAAAAACCCTAAACAAAGGCTTGGGGGATTCAAACATCATGGGGTTAAGCCACTAGATAACAAACATCGTGCTCCAGTGCACATAAATTAACTAGTGTTTGCTGAATACTACAAAAATGTACACATTTAGGACCATTTTAAAAACACCTATCCTTGACCCCGACTCCGTGACCAGGTCTAATTTCACCGCCGTGAACAGACCTCCTTCCTTCCCTCTACGCCAGACCTTTGTCCGCCCGCCCGCCTGCCGCCGGTGCCATGTTGCCATGGCTCCCTCGTGCCTCCGCTCTGCTCGCGCAAACGTTGAGAAATACGAACGTTGTGATGAATCAGCATCTCTGCCGCGAGCTCAAGCCGGTGAACCAGCAGCAGCAGCACCGCGGCCGGAAAACCGAGTAGACTCTATGAGAGTAAACCCGGTAGTACAAGTCCTTAAAACGCCAAAAAATACTCACTGTTGCTGAGTGATACGCGAAGCGAGCGGCTGTCTGTGTGAAGCGGCTGACACAAAGCAAATGTCAAAACAGTCACTCGGGCAGTTCGGCCACAATATTCTCTCTCTCTCTGTAGCTAGCCGCTGGGCGTCTGACAGCTATCGACGCTCCAGCATGACAGCCAGCCGTGTTTTGCCTTGTTTTAAAAAAAAAAAACAGAAAGAATTTTTTTTTTACATATTTTTATATTTCCACCTACAGCTAAACAACCAGAGAGCAAACGAGACGCTCATATATGAGAGCCCTAAATCCCAACATAGCTAACAAACAGCTGACTAACGGTCATATCACATCTGAACCAGCAGCTGGATATGTCCGGTCTGTGTGAGCGCCGCTGCCGCCGCTCCAAATGCGAGGCGCAGTCAGAGAAAAAGCTGAGGTTATGTGCCGTTACCGAGGGGGGTTTCGGTGCTTTAAGTAAACACTATACATTTAGAAATTTAACAGGCACAAAACAAGGGAATCCCCGGGCACCGCCGCGTCTCCGCGCGGTCATCTAATTCCGACACTTCTTTTTCAGCCTGACAGCCACACTCATCCTGCCCCCTTTGTCTGTCTTATTATGAAATCACCGGTTGGTCGGTAGTGCGTGGCAGCTAGAGCGACCGACCGCGTTTCAGTAGCGCATGTACCAAAGACCTCGATGATGATGATGATGATGATGATGATGATTCAGCACTGCCAGACTAATGCCCTTTAAACAACAGCAGCAGCGGCGGCGACGGCGGCGGCAGCGCACACCGGGACAGGCGGAAGTGCGCCCGCACTGAGCGGCAGCGACGGCGGCCGTGCACACTCAGCAAAACACCTCTACATTCAGCACTTTCTGAAGACATTTCAGTTTTGATTTCGACAAAGCTGACTCACCAGAAGTCAAACCGGCGCCTTTCGCCCACCCGCAGCTTCGAAAGGTTGACGTCCGCCGACGGTTCGTCGACCCGGTGTGGAGAAGACAGACAGTTGGAGAAATGTTTTTCCGCTCACGCCTTCTCTCGCAGGTCTCCAGATATATCCACTCCTTCCCCGCTTGTTTTAGTCTATGGTCGGAGGCGCCAGACGTCAAATGATGTTTGGATCACGTGGCTTCATTCATGAAGGATCTACGCAACCCGCTTTTAAAGAGACACGAGACACTACTACTGTGTGCTTTAACAACAGGCAGCGTGGAAAGCGTGACACGACAGCTGTGCACATCTCTATACTTAGAGCTAACATTTGAACCTCTGATCCAACAATAGGACAAAGAGCGGCGACACAACCATCTAACACTAAAGCAGCGATGCTCTGAGAGGCAATGGAAATTTATCACCCGACAAGTGGAAAGACAGTGCCCTCCACATTTATGACTCATTTATTTTTAATAATGTTGTGTATTTTTAGGAATTTTACCCCTTTGTGTTGAACATGCAGCTGAAATAGGGACTAGGGTATGAAAACGGGTAAACAAAGAGATTAAAATAAAGAATTCAATGCGAAATATTTACCCACTTAAAAAATTATGAAATACCTTAATGTTACAAGCTAGTGCAGGATTGTCAAACATAAGGTCCCACGGCCAGAGTGGGTCGGCAAAGAATTCAATTCTGTACACTGGATGGCTTTGAAAAAAGTTATGTACACGTTTTCACCCACTGCTCCTACCGATAAAGACCTCCTCGTGGCCTTTTATACTACCCCAAAGTAATTAAATTATAGTTTTCTGTATTTCACACATTTACTTCGTACAATTTAAGCCCAAAGAGTCACAGATTTACTACAGCAGCATTTTTTCATCATGTAAGAATTCAGACATACCGTTTTAATTCTGCTTCATTTTCTTATATTGAGATATCTAATTGATTAAATTTGTAGTTAAATTTCTGTATACTGAGAGAAAGGTTGAGTTTCACTGGTCCGGTCCACATAAGATCAAAGTGTGTTGTATGTGGTTTTGACATCCCTGGGCAAGAGAGAAATACAAAAGAGAAAATTACAAAATACAGCCACTTTTTAGAAGAGGTTCTCTATTTTTTTCCCCAGTTTGAAAACGCACGAATGTGTAACAAAATGTACCAAATACACTCAAATTAGTTCACTATTCTGTAAGGTGCTAAAGAAGATAAAGAAGAAAGGGGGTAATTAACATGCTTATAGCTACACATTCACCAGCCATTTAATAAATTACACCCTGTACCAGCTTGTAATACCTTCGCCTTAATTCCTCATGTCACAAATTCAGCAAGATGCTGGAAAAATTGCTCTGGGATTTTGGTCCACGATAGCATGGTAGCATCACACAGCTGCTGCAGATTTGTTAACTGCATTCACATCCATGATGTGAATCTCCCATTCCACCACATCCCAGAGGCACTTTATTGGATTGAGATCTGGTGACCGCAGAGGTCATTTGAGTACAGTGAACTCACTGCCTTTCTAAACCACCTGTCTGCTCCATTCTGACGCTTAGTTTGAACTTTAGGAGTTTGTTTTGACCACAACTGCATGCCTAAATGACCAAATGACCTGACCAAATAACCAGTGAGTGTGTATCAGAGAACCACGCAATGTAAAATTCTCAAATTTATGCCTTGTATTAGCAAATTAATATTGCACATGACGATAGTATTTGACAAAATGATGGTGATGGTGATGATGATGCCTCTTAATGAGTCTCTTTGTCCCTAACTTGATGGTCTTGCAAGCAATGCTTGCTCTAAGGCAGTAGTTCAAACAGGTTGTGATGAGTCCTCATGGGGACATATCACAATCATTTACTTGTTCTTCTTTCTTTTTTCTTCTTCTTCTTAAAAAAAAAAAGGATGTGTCAATGTGACACAGCATTATTATTAATGACTTAGCTTGTTAATTTCTAGAGAAACTGACTGCAGTGCTACACATATTGGGCTAGAAGAGCAAAGTATTTTTAAAATGTGTTTAATATCCAGTTCTAACTGTAGTGATTTGCAGTTTTTTGTTGCTTTTTTTAATGGTTTGCTGCCATGTCACCTTTAAAAGGCCACGACATGCAAAGCCATGAAACTGGAAAAACAAAACTTTTGTAATATAAACATTATTTCTTATTGAGTGTAACTTATACTCAATGAGGATTTATTTTTTGACAATTCAAGATTTCATTGATGCTTACTTTAGTGCAATCTTGGACACGCTGGCTCACCTTTTCCATCAACCAAGTCATAATAAATTGCACTGTTTAAAATATTAGCCTCTCTCACATGAGATTTTGTCTCTTTTCTGCTCCGCAGAAGAGCACCTGTCTGGCCAGTAGTCAGAGTCATGCAACACTTCCTTCCCTGTTTTGTAACACATAAAACAGCCATGAGCTACCAATCCTCACTTACAGTACAAACAAAATTAAGGGCTGATGTACATTAGTATATCAATATCCATTAGCATTTCTGAGGAATTAATGACTTCACATGCAAGACAAGGAAGCACTCTGCCAATATTAGCAGCCTATTTCCAGATAATGCCACTCAGTTTATAGGGGATAGCTGGTATTACATATTCATTGACCGATTATTTCCACTTGGCCGTGCACAGGCCTTTGAGGAGTAAATCTTTACCAGGCTGCTGAAAGTGAACATAATAATGGGGGGTGGGGGGTGAGTTGTTATGAAAATGACTAATATATACATGAGGTCAGTGTAGAATTTGATTTAAGAGCTACCCATGCCAAGACTGCTGACGAAAATGTGAGCCCTTGTATAGGATATCAAGGAAAAACACAGTGTTAATGCTCATTATATGTCGAAGCAGCCCCACTCTTAGTAAAAAATATTAAAATTATGCTAATCCAAATCCAGCATTATTATATGTATATTTTGTGTGAAATAAGCTAGTCTGCATAATGAAAATTCATTATTTTTTAATTTAATTAAAAGCTTTACCTACTTGCTCCTCCACTGGTTTTGGAGCCACACAAAAACGGAACACCTGAACCACAAAGCTAGTGGTGGAAAGTAACTGATTATACTAACTCATGCATTTAACCATGACTAAGTAGTTGTAAGAAGCAACCTACCTCTAACTGCTAACCCTATGCTTTCACAATATGTGATTTTGAAATGTATTATTGAGAATGAGAGAATGAGAGTCTTGACAGTGGGAGCACAAAAAACCTCCAACAGTTCAAAAAACACGCATGTTAGGTTAATTGACCGTAGGTGTGAATATGAGTGTGCATGGTTGTCTGTCTCTCTGTGCCAGCCCTGCAGCAGACTGACGAACTGTCCAGGGTGTACCCTGCCTCCTGCCCCGTGATCACTGGGGTACGCTCCAGAACCTCCAACAACCCTGAATTTTATAAGCAGAAGAAAATGGATTGGAGTGGGCTTTTTTTCAGCTTCTGAAGAGAGGAAAGATGAAAAAAACAACAACCCTGCAAGCCACAGGGTGAGAGTAAAATTGGAAGTAATTTTGATTATTTTCATTTTTATCTGTTTTTACCCTTCTTGTTCTATATGAAAGCTATTAATGAGAACAACACACATGAAAAACAAATAAGTGTACTTCTATATAATACTGCTAAAACCGTAGAGAGGGTGCTAAAAAGCTGGTTGATCAATGCTTTTGGTACATCATGTACACACCTGTGCACCTGTCTGATTCCTTGATAAGTATCAGGTAAATAAAGGTCAGCGTTTCCAGGAATCCTTTCGCTCTGTACTTTGCAAGTTGGCAATAGAGGGAAGCCCATACTGCAGATTCACTGGCTGTGTGATAACCGCCAGTGTTTCCTCTTTCTGGGGCCGTTTCACCATACAGCTGCACAAAGCTGATACTGTATCAGCTCTCAGATCACACACAAACACACACACTTGCACACACAGATTGCTGACACTACACTTGAGTGCACAGAAAGCAAAAACAGAGGAACTTGAAAAACAAACACCTATTTACTCGCTTGTCTGTGTGAGTTTATCATTTTGGAGAGGATTAAATGAATGTTTGTTCCATCTATCCACTCCTCTTGGTTTCTGGCACTCCTCCTGGCCTTGACACAATATGCAAACAACCGTGTTACTGCAAAGGTCAGTGATTACACTGATTGAATGGGGATGACAGGTAGCATCTGGCCTACCTGTGGACAGAAATCCCATGCTGAGCGAGAGCGCACACACGCATACACACACACTATGCACAAACTTTCCACTCAGGATTAACTACTACTGAACTGCCATCTTAGACCCTCAGCCAGTGTCAAGATGATTGACACAGAGCACATCCTCTTCACCTTGGGTGGAAGAGAGCCGCCGAAAGCCGCCCGACCAACGAAAGGTAACAGAAGTCTAATAATGAGAAGCAAATGGAAGTCTCTTCAGGAATGGCTAATCTTAACGGACAGCGGCGGGAGCAAGCGGAGAATAACCTTACGGAATAAAAGAGGGATTACCAAGACACTTCAGCGGCAGAGAAAAACCATTGCACGCACAAATAAACAGCCAGAGTCCGCTGAGAGCATGAGGGACGCAATTTAATCAAGGGACACTGGTGTGTGTATTAGTTTAAGGAAAATAAACTAATCCTACAACAGCTATAAATTGTTCAATTATAATGAGGACATGGCTCTTCACAAACCATCACCCTTCTTCCATCATTTTGCTTCGCCATTATGCACCTGTGTATTGGCTGAATACACCCACAGGCCTATCTCATTCCAACACAAAGTGCCATTTGTTAATCCAAAATGTAGCAGCCTGGAGCGCAGTGATTGGCCCAAAAATCGGAAAAGTACTCTACAGACCTGAAGTCTGCAGTAGCTACTGTCTCTTAATTTCCCCAAATGCACCTGAACTTCTGCCCTTTTCTATCAGCTAATTCAAAACTCGATATTTAGGGCCAGATTTACTAAGCAGGGCAAATTAGCACATGCAAGAAAATTTTTCTAGGGGTTTCCAGCCTGAAACCATTACTTACATTTGGGTGGCAAAGAAAATAATGTCCTGTTCATTTTTTTTTCTTTGTGGAAAATCTCTGTAAGCCAAAGAGTTAATTTATTTTGGTCACTCACTGTTATATTTATGCATGCTTGACTCATGTCACAGTGGACCTTACAGACTGTGACAAGGAATGGGAGACGAGACTTAAAAACATGGGAATTCATTTACTTAAAAACTTATTAGACTTATAAGAACTTACATTTATGAGCAAGACAGTGATGCAAAGAATGTATGGATGAGTAGCAGTGTCTGCAAAAAACAGAAGAAAGAAACTAAAAAGCAGCCGGTGGTAAGAGTCTGCAGGAAGGAGTAATCTTTTAAAACAGAGCTCACTGGGCCAGTGTAGAACTTATGAGGCTTTTTACCCTCCAGTTAGCTCCTGCAGGACAAAACACAACACAAAACTGAGGCATCTAATACCCACATGGCCCCGATGTGAATTTCACCAGTTCATCTTGACCATGTCTACATAACTAAATACATTG